GAAAGAAGCAAAAACCTTAGAAACAAAAATTGTGTGTGTGTGTGTGTGTGTGTGTGTGTGTGTGTGTGTGTAATTTGCCCCAAACCATTCCATCTCCTCTTCTACCATGAATGGCCAGGCAAGTGTGCCCCACAAGTAGTTACACCTACATTAGGGCCAATGTTTCCGCTCTCCCCTTGAGGTCCATCAAAACTAGAACGTCCCTGAAAAATAAGAGATAAAGGTGAAGTCAGTGTAGATGTCCACACACTACTGGGTCTACGCCCTAGACTTGCTTTACTCAGTACAGCATTCCCTAGGCAGGCATGGCGACCTAAATAAAATTTATAATTCACTTCATCTGTTGCACTGGTCGCATTTCAAGTGCTCAATAATTGCAAGTCTCTAGTGGCCACCATATTAGATCACGCAGATTTAGAGCATTTCCATGATCTCAGAAAGCTAGTTTGAGTGTGCTACCCTAGAAGAAAATAGCACTAGATTCCGGTGTTTCAAAACACCGATGTTGAATCCATCCTTCTCTCCTCAGTTTGTTCCTGTCACATCTTCTTGGGATGTCCCATTCTGGAACATAGTCTCCAACAAGCCAGTCATGTTCACTGAGAATACAGGCATTTTCCTTTTACCCGCATCATAATGAGTAGCGTGTGACAGATGGCAACAGGCGGTGAAAGGGTGTGTCTCGGCACACCTGGGGCGGATAATCTACAGGGATGATAATGGGGAAGAGACAGAGTCAGCATCAGGACAGTCCCACGTGTCTCATCCCTGCAGGATCCGACGTGGGGAAACGAAGTGGAGCCAGAGAAAGAATGAGCCCATCTTTCAGGAGAAATGAAAGCCACGCTGGATCTTGAGTGGGCATATTTTAGATAATTATCTAGTGAAACCACAAGAGAATGCAATTAAAAAGTACTTAAATTGGGAAACATTTGGAAATACAGACATTAAAAACAACTTTATGTGCAAAACTGTTCATCCAGCTCTTATTTATAACAGATTATACTCTGAAACATGTTAAAAACTACAATACTAAGAAATAGTACAGGTGGTCAATTTTGAACCATAGGAAGTCATGTTAATGAAGTTATGAGAGACACACTTGGAATAACTTGCTGGAATAGTATGCAACAATTGAAAATTAGGTTTATTACAAAAGTTTCCAAAATAGGGGGGGGGTTAATACTATCACATTATTCTTTTAATGTATGTTAAATATTGTGAGTGAACTATTTATCCACAAAGCAAAAAAAAAAAAAAAA